TGCTCTCGATCCTAACAACATGTAGACATGCACCCGGCTCTTTAGGGCTCTTTGGGCTGACAAATTGGGGAATAGTTGGAGAACAACTTTCGACATAAACGATTCATGGGAAAGGTACGGTCGTTCATCTTCATGTTTTCTTAATGTTCATGTGTGGCATAATGTGTGTTGTTTCTTTATGTTGTAGTATGGTTTCGAGGGCAGATCAGAATGAAGTTTACGCTGAGCATGCAAGGCCGGGCGGCTAGAATGGTAAGTGCCTGCATAATTAGCCGATCCCATCATTTTCTATGCAAGATGTCTGACATGTCTGCTTACGTCTATAGATCCAGACATGCTCGAAGTTGGAAATGGTGGTATGAGTAACGATGAGTACATCGTGCACTTCCCTCTGGGCCACTTCCAAGGTAGCATAACTCTCTCTCTCTCTCTCATCATTTGTGAATATTCTATTTATAGATTGCTCCACTCCAAACCACAGGCAGGCTCCTCTTATTATCGGTTGTGATGTAAGGAGCATGACTAAGGAAACTTTGGCTATCCTTGGCAATGAGGAAGTGATTGCTGTAAACCAAGGTAGGCATATGCGACGAGTTCGATGGGGCTCTCATGAGTATGGCTTTCACATATGGTTCGTTTTTTGATGAACATATCCTCTCGGTGTTCAAGCGAAGAAGGTGCGAATGGACGGAGATCATGAGGTTGGTAATTGGCCTTCCAAGTTGTTCTCACATTCTGTCATCCAGTGAAGCACGCACGCAAGTCCTGAGAAGTTTGGATGCAGGTTTGGTCAGGACCTCTTTCTGGATACAGAACTGTAGTCAGAGATCTTTGGAAGGTACTCCAAATGCTTCGTCAGCTTCTTCTACATTTTGCAATCATCGACTGACAGTTGTAGTTAACATGATTGTATATTCTTGGTTGCTGCAGCATGCGACACTGGAGAAGAGGTACATGAATGAGCTGAGAGCCGATGTGCACCCCCATGCCTGCAAGGTGTTTCTGTTGACGCCTCTTACATTATCAGATGTGGATAAACCGAAAGTCTAGTCACTACTCGTAGGATGAATAAATGCATGTACAAATTCAATGCTTGAATTTGCTAGTATTTTAATGAAGTAGAGGGCTCATAGGATGAATAAATTCATTACAAATTCTAGAGATCATGATCTTTTTTCTTTGCTACACTAAGTTATTTTAGAGAAATTTTTGGTATGTTAATAAATCTTATCCTAAGACATCATAAATTAATGGTATCGATGAGTATGATTCATTAAAATTTTATTGATAATAATTATAAATTTATATACATAAATAAAAATTATAAAATATAATAATTATATATATTTTAATTAATAATAGATATAAAATATTTTTAAAATTATTTCATAATTTATGAAATCATATTGAGATCATAATCTTTATTATTGATATAGTCATGATAATAATTTATAATTTAAAATTATAACAATATATTTTTAAAATATCGATAAGATCTTGATAATCTTATCTCAAAGATATTTATATTATTTCATAATTTAGAAAATCTAGTTCTTTATTATTGATAAAATCATAATAATATATTATTTTATATTCAATAATTTAGGATCATGATAATATAATATTAAAAAATTAAGGAGATCATGATAAATCATATTATATTTATCATGATTTAGAATTAATGGTTTGTGATCTCGTTTTTTGTTATACTAAGTCTTTTAGAGAGATTTTCGGTATGGCTACAAATTTTTATTAATAATGATTATAAATTTATATGCATAAATAAACATTTTAAAAATATAATAATTATATGTTTTATTTTAAAAATAATTATAAAAATATTTATTAAATTATTTCATAATTTCGAAAATCATTTTGAGATCTAATCTTTATTATTGATAAAATCAAGATAATATTTTATAATTTAAAATTATAATAATATATTCTTAAAATATCTTTGAGGTCGTGATAATCTTATATTAATGATATCTATATTATTTTATAATTTAGATTATTATTATAAATTTTATAATTTAAGATAATGGTAATATAATATTAAAATATTAAGGAGATCGTGATAAATCATATCATGATTTAGAATATATTGATCATGATTTAGAATATCTTAATCATGATCTCGATTCTTTTTACACTAACTCATTTTCGACAGATTTTTGGTATAGATATAAAGCTCACTGTTATGAATTAACAGTACCAATGAGTATAACTCACTAATTTTTTATTAATAATGATTATAAATTTATATGCATAAATAAAAATTATAAAAATATAATAATTATATATTTTATTTAAAAAATAATTATAAAAATAATTATTAAATTATTTCATATTTTCATAAATCATTTTGTGATCTAATCTTTATTATTAATAGAATTAAGATCATGATAATCTTATCTCAATGATATATATATTATTTCATAATTTAGAAAAACATGTTCTTTATTATTGATAGAATCATGATAATATATTATTATAAATTTATAATTTAAGATTATGATAATATAATATTAAAATTTTAAGGAGATCATGATAAATCATATCATGGTTTATCATGATTTAAAATCCCTTAGTCATTATATCGATTCATTGTTACACTAACTCATTCGAGAAAGATTTTTGATAATGGATATAAAACTCACCCTAAGACATCATGAATTAATGGTATTAATGATTATCACTCACAATTTTTATTGATAAATCTTCTTTTTAATTGCTCATGAAAGCTACTACGAAGTACAAACATTAATTTCATTTTGGTGAACTTAAACATCATGCTTTGCCGGTCCAAAGGTTCACCACTCTGTAATGAGGTACATGCCTATAGGAAGAGAATTATCAAGAACTTAATTTGTAGTATAAAAATAAGCATCTAGTAATCAATGATATACTTTCTCGTCAATTGCTACATACTTATATATTTTTATAAAACACTGATTCATAATTTAAAATAGTTATGCGAGAATGAAGACTATAAAACAATCACATATAGGTTCATGAGAACATGTCATGCCACAAGTAATATATACAGGAATAATAAAATATGGCTGATATGTAAAACATATAATATTTAAGCATATTGAAATAATATATCAACATACATGCTTATCCAAAGTTTTGATATCCAATATATTGAAACTTCATATCAGATTGCATAACAAAATTTTAAGGTTTTTCATTCAGGCAGACAAGCCACTTGCCTCAAATCCAAGCTATAATTTATTGACACAATTAGTCAATCAAATCTTGATCAATAAGAAATACAACAAATTCTTATAAGAAGTTTTTTTTTATATAATTTCGGTCTACTGCTCTCTGATGATAAATCCATCACTAATGGATTTTGTTTCTAATAACGTATTTCAGTTTCCATTTTACTTTTTTGTCTCTTCAAGAACATCTATCTCAAGACCTAAACCTAACATTCCGTACTTTTAGTTTTGCTTTGGTGTTAACCGATTCCCCTAATGGCATCGTTAAAGCTAGTAGAACGATAATCCCATTTCGATTCAAATCCTTTCATTTCGATTAAAACTGATTCCGACGAAAACCGTTTCTGACGAAAACCGTTTCGTAAATATCTTAACTTAAAACACATTCGTATATATAGTGAAAGCAGTAGGCAAGTAAAGTAGGGAAAGGCTGTTTGCAGTAAATGTAAATTGTAAGAAGTAAATGCAAACCGAGTTATAATGGTTCGGTCGTCATGACCTACATCCACTCCATTGATTCCTCTTTCG